GAAAGAGAGAGAGAGAGAGAGAGAGGGAGAAGAAGAGGAGTAAAATTCGCATAACCCACTTGGACTGCAAGTGCGCCCAAGGCCACGTCATGTTGCAGCCGCAGCAAAAGCAATAGCAGCAGCAGCAGCAGCGAGAGTCCGTGTCCTTCCCGCCTATCGAAACGGTCGGTACAGGGTCGTTTTGGAGTACGACGTGGCTCCATGGACGCGATCCTGGATCTATCCCGTATTCGTTAGTAAGAGGAGGTGGGAATAGTGCGCGCGCGAGCACGTCACACCTACAAGTAACGAAGGCCACGGAAGGGTGGGGTTGGCCAGTATCACCGTCGATCCTCCCGCATGTTTACAGATTCATATTCCCCTTCTGTGAGCACTCACACGTATCTACACCCTTCTCTCCCTCCCTCTTTTTCTCCTTTATGCGTTCGCGGTTTCCCCTCGCTTCATTCCCCACCATTATCGAAAGAGAAAGAGAGAGAGAGAGAGAGAGAGAGAGAGAGAAAGAGAGAGTACCAGCAACAGAGAGAAGCGCAGCAGCAGCAGCAACATCAGCAGTAGCCATAGCATAGTATATATATATATCTTCCCTCGAGTTTCGTCTACTGCTGCAACGACCATCGGTCTACGTTCTCATTATTTTATAATGGAACATTAGAAAAACGAATAAATATAACATTCTATATTCATTATCATCTACAGCAAGATATATAAGTCATTAATACAAGATCGATTAGTGCCAAAGAATTTATTAATGAAATGAAAGAAAGAAATGCAGTAGCAGAAAAGAAATGTTATGATAAATGAACTTATGGTGGATTCTAATTGTAAGATCAAGACAAGAAGAAAAAGAAAACTATAATATATTATAGATGATAGAAAGGCGATCGAAATAACAGAGGGAGGAGAAAGAGAAAGCGGTGGGGGAGCACGCTTAGAAGAGGGGTGGCAAGGTTATAGCGCGTGGGGCAAGGTAGGCAGCAGGCAGGCAGGCAGCAGGCAGGCAGGCAGCAGGCCGCTGTATTGACGCGCGGCGTCGAGGCTTGCGCGAGATGACGCAATTCCTCTCCCTCTCGGAGTTACCCCTTCTCTTGGAAATTGGCTCGCCCCGGCGAATCATGGCTCTCCCCACTTGGACATTAGCGGTGGTAGCGGCGGCGCAAGCAGCGCTCCCGCCTCACCTGGTAGCTCCCTCAAGTTCAATGCCAAGGTCAAAGCGGCTTAGACTCTGAGCCGTGTCGGTCGCGCGTGCCGCGCTCTCCGCTAACTCGCTTTGTGATACGCTACAAGTCAACTACTACGCTGGTGTGTGGATTCTTCCGCTCTTATTGCGATACGTATTCTCATCATCTTTCTGCTTCTTTTTATTCTTCTTCTTCATCTTTATCTTCCCTTATTTTTTATTTTTCTATTTTTTATTTTTTTATTTTATCTATCTTTATCTTTTCCATTTTTATATACTTTTTATCTTAATTGTTCTTTCTCTCGCTATATCTATCTTGCTTACTTTATTATTTTTCCCTTCCTCTCTCTCTCTCTCTCTCTCTCTCTCTCTCTTTCTCTCTCCCACGAAAACGGTGATTATCGGCGACGAAGCAACCGCGGCGGACATCTTGTTTGATTCGAGTGACGTCAGTGGCGGAAATTTCGAGCGTGTTCTCCTTCTCGCAACAACGACGACGACAACGACGACAACAACAAGAAGGATGAGGAGAAATGACGCCGCGTGGGCGTCGACGAGGGAGGCGAGCAGAAAGGGGGTGCTGGTAGGAGAGCAAAGGGTGAACAAGAGAGAAGCTGTGTACTCCGGCTTGCGAGGATCGAACAGTAGCAGCACCTCGTCGGTTAATCGCCGTTGCGAATCTCGCTATGAAGGAGCAAGGTCGCGACAGGTGTGCATACAGTTCTCAACTACTACCAACACAGATTCCTACTACATTATTGCTATATCACTATCATATTTGGATTCGTTCTTTCCGCTATTGGCCGGAAGAAGGAAGAGGAAATTGTCGAGAGAGAACAATATGTAAATATTCATATATGTATTGCTCGTGTTGCTGTTGCTACTTGCCGCTGGTCGACCCATTCGGAGAATTAGGAAATGCTGCTGCGTCTTCTCTCGTTTGCGATTGATGATCAACGATCATGCGAATCGTCGGCAGAACGATAGCTCTCTCCCCTTCCGTTGCACCGAGCTATGGCGCACTTTGACGTCAAGAAGCAAGATGGCGGTTTTTGGGTAGCCCGGAGAAGAGCGGCGCCGGCGGTCATCGTTCGTGCGTCGTCTTTTCTCTAACGTATCCTCTTCTTCGTCGTAGTCTTCTTCCCATCATCATCATCATCATCATTATCTTCGATCGGCACGATTCTTCTTGGGATTCTGTCTTACGGTATCATTTTTTTCTCTATTTATCTTTTTATAACATAAACAATAATCCGTCGATTTAATTGAATTTTAAATAAGACTATTATTCGTTTGAACGGACACACGATTACGATTTTCAGAATGGAACAACTTCCTTGTTAATTTGATCGAAATAATTAAATGGGAATAATAGGGGTTGGTAGTAAGAAGGAATAGAAGGGTAAATTTGATAAATCGTCTTACTTACGAAATAACCAAGATCATTTTCATGAAATTGCAACGCAAGGTCGAACGAAATATGTCTGTCCGTAGAAGTTAAAAGTATAATTTGCGATAGGATCAATTGATTACGCAGATTTTCCGACATCGTTGTCTTTCTTTCTCTCTCTCTCTCTCTCTCTCTCTCTCTCTCTCTCTCTCTCTCTCTGTTTCTCTCTTTTGCGTCTTCCGTTCCCCTCTTCAATTCTTCTCTCCCTCTTGTTCCTCCTCCTCCTCTTCCTCCTCCTGTTCTCCTCCTACTCGTACTTGTGTTCGGTGGTATCGATCGGCGCGATACTATAGCATTTTCATGAATATACGTCCACAGAATTAACCCTGACCTTGTACTTGCAGTCTAACTTCTCTCTTACGTGTTAGAATCTCTCTCTTTCTCTTTCTCTCGTTAACGATCAGGACAACGAACATACAAATATATTCTTTGTATCTTCGCATTTAACAAGCAACCATGCGACTCATTTCTATGCACTATAACAGCGTATATACACCCTAACCTCCTTTCACAATTCGAGTCCCTTTTCCCTTTCAGATTCACCATCAGTCTCCCTCTCTCTCTCTCTCTCTCTCTTCACCCTCCTCTTCTCGTCCTTCACCCGATTTCTCTCGTCCTTTTCGCTCGTAACTTCTCCTTCCCCTCTAGGTCGTATCTTTCGCGTTAAGGATTCTTCTTCTTCTTCTTCTTCTACTTTACATATGTGTGTATCTTCTTGCTTTGTTGCCTTCTTCTTCACGTTTCGCATATTTTAACCGTCCGAACACGCAGTTAAGATCATAATGGCTTATTGTTCTTCAAAGATTGCTCTCTCTCTCTCTCTCAAGCGTTAATTTACTTATACTTTTATAAACGTTTTGTTCTTTAAATCTTAAAGATTAATCTGATATTTATTAACGTGCAAATTCTTGTAATGCAATTTTTCTTTTACATAATCATCATCGTAATCGGTATCGTCATTATTGGAGTTGTTTTTTTTTATATTGCATGTTAACAATTCAAAGAAACAAAATTAAAAAATGATCTCGTATTGACAGTGGATTTTGTAAATCTTTTTTACTCGACGTAATTTGAGTCAGTTCACAAACAACGCATGACTAATCACATACACGTATCTCATATCAAAGTTTCGATTTTGGTTTCGGTCGTTTTCGTTCGTTTTCGTTGTAGGTCGACTCGAATAAACTCAAGCTAGGTTCGACTTCATTTTGCGGGAGTAATTTACTGATCGCTTATGTAATCGGCAATATCGCAATACCACCGTTCGTTCCTACGTTCGTTCCTTCGTTCGTTCGTTTGTTCGTTCGTGGTTGTCATCATATCGTCATCGTCATAGTCAACGTTCAACATTTTTGAATTACACGACTAACATCATTCCGACAACGTTCGAGCATCTATTTGAGATTTTTCCTCTATTATTAACCGTCAAAATAAGATAAGTTATTGAATACAATTTCATGAAATAATTTCGAAGAAAATCGTTACCAAAAACATAGTTTTATTTTTCTACAAAATATTTCATTTGATTGGGTAAAATGTAACGTAAGAAAACAGGATAGATACGTCCCTTAATTTTCTTCATTATTTTTCTTTTTCAACAATTTGTTTATTTAATGTGAATTTTATTTGTAATTTTTAGGTGACAAATTCCGATTAGTGTTAGCAACGACACTTAGGGAGGATGGTTATCCCGATGGCGGAGAATGGAATGCTACGGATCAAGAAGGTGGTTCTAGAGCGGACAGTTTTGAATACGTGATGTCGGGAAAGGTTTATCGGATCGAAGGTGACGAGGCGAGCAACGAACCTAGCAGTAGATTGTAAGTCATTTGATATTTTTCAACAAATTTATTACAATAATTCGATTCATTAGGTTTCTCTAAGAAAAATTTGAATTTTAGAATTTAGATTGATTCGTATTTAATTATTATTTTATTGGAAATTATTTATTTGAATAATATCATTTCAAGATAGTAGTAGTTCGCATTTGAACATTTCAATACTAATGGATGAACAAAACTGTAAACAAACTTTGATGTCGCTCGAAAATACGAGTTCCGAATGTTGTTTCATTGAGATATTCAAACTGCGTAAAAATATCTAGGTGTATGTATTTACACGTGCATATATATATATATATATATATATATATATATATATATATATATATAAAGGTATTCGTGTGGCGGCGACGAAGCGCGTAAACGCGCGCTTCCGTTTTGTGCTCTCTGATTGGCTCGCTTCCAGTGCTCTCTCCAATCTTNGTCGCTCGAAAATACGAGTTCCGAATGTTGTTTCATTGAAATATTCAAACTGCGTAAAAATTCCAAGGTGTATGTATTTATATATATATATATATATACATATATATGTAAATAAAAAGGTATTCGTGTGGCGGCGACGAAGCGCGTAAACGCGCGCTTCCGTTTTGTGCTCTCTGATTGGCTCGCTTCCAGTGCTCTCTCCAATCTTTTACCATCTGAACCATCGCTAAATAAAAGCGCACTGTTACTTTGTATACTGAAAGAAACGAAAAAGTTAAAGGATTTACAATTTATTTATTTTATTTTATTTCTTTTTTTTTCTTTGCATACAAATAACGTTACAAAATGGGAAAGAAATTTATTTTTCAATTCAATTATTAATATAAAATTATTAATTAATATGAACGCAGGTTGCAATCAACGACTCTCTTTTTTACAGCAATCAATTCGTATATGAACTATTTTTATAATAGAAATAAATGTACACAGTTTTCGTAACAAGCCGTCCAATCATATTGAAAATGATTCTTATTTTTTTAGTTTTTTTTTTCAAGTAGGCCGATCAAAAACGACTATTACTACTTAAAACGATAGATTTATCGAATAAAAAAATATGAGAGACGACGCAGTAAGACATTTTTAGTAGTTTTATCTTTCAAATGAGTCACGTTTAAAAATATAAGGAAGTAGTGTCGAAGAAGTACGATTTATTAATTATCGTAGTATTGTAGATAAAAAATGGTTGTTAACTTGAAAACATAATAGATTACATTTTGTAGATTACCATTCATAGTTTTTTTTGTCTTTCTCTCTCGAATCTCCTTGATAGAGGATTCGGATTACGTATAACTGTTTATCGCGAAGACGTTAATTTCGTTCGTAGACCTTGACATTACTTAAACGGTACGAAGGCTGCCGGTATATAAAAGCCGAACAACCAGACGTATTCCTGTTTCCGCATTATGTAAAGAAATCAATGGAAGTTTCATCAGGTTTTTGCGCGCGTGTAGCTTTTCAAATGAAATTTTCGAAGAAATAAACATATTTACAGTTATATGTTCCAGATAATAATTAGGAAATATTTTAGGGATTGGGTTCTTTTATCTCTGAACAAATTCTTGCTCATTTTAGGACAAACAAAATATACATTTGTAAGAAATATATATTTGATTAGAATCGAAAAGAAACGCTACGATAACAAAGGTTTTCAAGATAAACTTCATTTCAAGAGCGACGTTATCTTACGGCCTTGAAATATGACTGAAATGTCCCAGATGGCGAACGTAGTACCATTCGTAAGAAAATAATGCAGGTTATCGAAGAGGAATTCAGTCTGACACGATTATGTCTGTGTGTACTCACATGATATTATTATTGTCAAAGATAGAATGCAGTGTGGTGCATGTAAACACACACTCGATAAGATAAGACAAACGAGCAAACTGCATTTTTCTCGTAGAGGAACTATGGCAGACATTTTATAATCAAAGGAAAAATATCTTTTTCTCTCTTATGGATAACTCAATAGTTTATCTTTCGTACAACATAGATTTTATTAATATACGTTCGAGATACTTCTCAAGTATCTTTGTATTATCCATTAATAGGCATCAATCTAATCATGACAAATTTCAGCTTGAAATTAAATATTTTCATTGATTTCAATTATAAGAGATATTATTAAAAATAGCAACATATTCCAGCCTTATCAATTCGCTCTCGATAATAAATCGAAGTAAATAGTAGTATCATCGTTTGCGTCATTTTTTGCTAGAGTTTCCTCAATCGTGCAAATCCAATATCAATAATATTTATCTCTGTAAAATATAATTAATCTTAGACATTTGAGAAGAACGAAGAGGAACACATTAAAAACGCTAATTCAAACGATAAATAGTAATATTTGATTTCTTCAAGAAGATTTAGTGGGAACAGATAAATACCGACAACTCGGTCGATAACTAAGCTCTCAATTTGGAGTTTCAAATTGTCGCGGGAACTCGACAAATTTAAACTCCGAGGGAAAGTTTAACAAGTATGTACATATTTATTTATGTACTTACTTATCTTTCTCTATCTTCATTTTCTGCAATAACTTTTCCCCTCATTGTCATTTCCCCTTCCCCCAAAGAAAAGAACTAAGAAAGTATAAAAAGAATCGGAGAAGGAAGAAAATGAAAAGGCAAATGTAAATTAAAAAGAAAATGAAGGATATGATGATGATGATCATGATCGAAACATTGGCGAAAGAAGATGCACGGTCGGTAAAATAGCGATGATATAGCAAAATGAAAGAAGGAAATGAAGGAGGCGTCGTCAGCGACGGCGAAAGCTGCTCTCGGAGAACAGGGAGCCACTCTGCGTTCACTCGGTAGATAATGAAGCGAGTGAACACAGCTGGTGGTATCTCAGTTTTCTAGGGGCGTTGGCAACTCTCATTGGTTTACCAGTTGACTATTACCACCCGGTTGTCTCTCTTTCACTCTCTTTCTCGGTGGTGCACAACTTATCATCAAACTATGCCTCTTTAGAAGCTTGCTAAACCTGATTCCTCTTATATATTAGTTATATTATTATTTTCTATTCATCTATGTAACAACTTATTTTTGTGGTGGAGCCTTCGGGGAGAAGGAAAGAGAGAAAACTACTTGTCAATTGGTGTTGTTCTTCTAAAATCAAGATGATCAAAGAGGATTGTTGAAAAAGTGAATAAACACGCTAAAGGAATATCAATCTTTCATTCCACAGGACTCATCATCGACCATGACAATGACTATTTCTCTTTCTATCTTTCTCATCATCAACAACAATTATCCAATGCAGATTTTCATCGCATCAGAATGCGGACAAATTTAGAAGGATCGTCCTGGACCACCGTTAGTTTATTTTCAACCAACCATCCCACGCTTCTTTCTTAACTATCTTCCCTTACTTACTTGCGTTATTTTTGTTTGATCTTGGCCGTTCCATTTTATTCGACAACGTCATTATCATTATCCATTTTTATTTTTTTTATTTTTTATTCGAATAACATAGACGAGTAGAATAAAATGATCTCGTATACATTCATAATTCACTTTGTCCATCATCATTCGTTCTATTTAATCATTTTACTGTCTACTCGCGATTTATTTTACAAAATACACATACATATACAAATGACCGGATCGTATTCGATTCTTCTTTCATCTCGAGAGAACGACGAGGAGAACAGACTCGTCTATTATTATAATCTCCCTTGAAAGCGTTTTACAAGGAATCTACTCGAGAGAAGAAGAAGATGAAGAAAAGGAGGAAGAAGAAGAAGAGGAAGAGGAAGAAAATAAGGAAGTATTAATAATAAGAAGAAAACTTTTTCCTCGGCGTACTTATTTAATTCAAAAAAATGTTGAACGTCTCTCGAGATCATTTTGAAAGTAGATACTAGAGAATGGCTCATACAATTTCATTCTTCTTACTTTGAACGGTTTGTTCCTCATCTTGTTAGAATATCTTTAGATAGATGTGTCTAATCGATCATGAACGGAGAAGACAATTCCGTGAGTTCCATTAGAGTTTAAGAATGGAACGTATAAATTCCGTAATCTTTATGTATACAGAGAGTGTGTGTGTGTGTTCACTAATATTACTTCAATTTCTAGACGTTCATATATGCACACGTATGTGTAAACGTGCACGATATATGTAAGTTTATGTACAGGTGCATTATATATATATATACATATGTAGGTATGTACAGGTAGACGTATATGTATATATATTGGTATATGTTTGCGAGGCCAAACGGGGGCGTGACATCTGGGAAATGAATTATTGATCGGGGTCGTCCGAGACCCCGGAATGGATATAGCTAATCCTCTGGCAACCCCGGCAACGCGCAGGCACACGCATGATGTTGCCAACAAACGCGTAATGCAACCTCGATAGGCTTTCTATGTGTTCCATTCTCTCTCTCTCTCTCTCTCTCTCTCTCTCTCTCTCTCTCTCGTTCTTTCTCTCTTTGTGTGCATGCGTGTGCGTGTCGCGTGTCGTGTCGTGTGCGTTATATGTTTCCTATGTCCTTTACTGTCCCGTCTTTCAATTCCCCGTTAATTATTCCTGCCAACGCGAATCGATTTCGTGAAAGCCTTGTCCAATACGCTTTCTCGCCTGTGTGTATCTGCCTCTGTGTGTGTTCTCTCATCATGTCGCTCGTGAAAGTCTAATATCCTTTTCATCGATATCAATCTCTCTCGAATATTTTTATTTCAAATCAATCCTCTTCGAGTTTTTCTATCTCTCCGATAAAAAATATTAAAAAGAAAATCATACGGTAACAATAATAGAAAAGAACAAATTTTCATTTATTTAATCGTGTCAAGAAAAAGACAAAAATACTACAAAATATATGTTTTATTTTTTTTTTTATTTCATCTTGAAAGGAATAAAAAAGTTCGTTCCTCAAATTTCGCGGTTAACAGACCGGTAAAACGATCCTATTGTAAGCCGCAAGAGATTTTTTATTTATTTATTTATTTATTTATTTATGATTTCACGTTCGTATCAAACAGCAAACAAGTCAGCTGATCATAGAAATCATTTGTATTATCACGCGCGTGCGTGCACGTTTGCGCACGAGTAACTTAGCTCGTGATTGGTAGAAAGAAGTGCGCGCGCACGGTCCTACTCGATACTTACGCGGTGCAAGGTCGTCCGGGCTGTCAAAAACAGCTGAGCAGCCACGGTCGGCCAATCAGCTGATCATCGAGCTTTGCCGGGGTTCGAAAGTACCTTCGAGCCAATACTATACTTGCTATTTTCTATTTTTTCTTCCATTTTTTATTGTCAACAAATTCATATTTTATTCATTTAATTAGAAACTGCAAGGAAACGAACAAGCCCTTCGTCTTATTTAATATTAATTATTTTAATAATGTTATTACAATCAAATTCTTTCCTCCTTTTTGTTTTTTTTTGTTTTTTTTTTTTTAATAATAAAAGGTAATGACAAAAGTGATTAAATTTGTATGTTTCTCATTTTACTTTTTTTTCTTCCTTTACCTACGATGAACGTTTACGAAAGATCAGAAATATGACCGTAAAAAAGTGATAAGGAAAAAAAAAGTGGTGAAATGATACTCATTTATCGGGTCGATATAACTTAAAACGTATTATTATGCTTAGATTCTCTATCTTCGTTTCTGGCATATTAATTTCAAGGCAATGAGTTAGCGCAACACACACACGGTGCTTTTATTTACTGAAATTAATATTTATTATATTATAAAATGTTCCTTGATAAATGATCAATGATAGATAAGAACCAGAAGGTTTTCAGTGTTATGTTCATTTTGAACGATTTTTATTTCAGATATTTATCTATCTATGAAACTGTTATTCTAGGAGAAAAAGAACACACATACACACACTTAGAACGCGCACGCGCATATTTTTTATTATATAAATCGTACATGTTAGCAAATATCAAAGGCCGAAAATTTCTTTGAAGATGGTGCACCATATTGCTGAACATAATCGAATTACCAATACATTGAACATATATGTACGTTTTTGTGTTAGGGTGTATATGCATAGTAGCACTCGAATTGAGTAAAACACTTAACTGTTACGTCATCGACTATTGGAATTATCAAAGCCACCCTCTTTACATATAATCGATACTATCGGTGATACTCGCGTCATGTCACTTCTTATAATCGACAGAAAATATATATGTATATATGTTTTTTCTTCATGTATTATTGAATATGTGCTATACATGTGTTCGATTGGAACCTCGTGTTAATTACAACGAGAATAACATGCTTCCGCCATTTCTGTAATAAATTACAGTATGTGGCAGAAACAGGAGGTTCGTTACGCGGATCATTTTCAATAAAGAGAGAAAAAGGACATATAATCAGAATGCAAATAAGTAACCTGATTCTATGAGTCATACTTGAGTTTTTACAGACAACAACAACAAAATAATTGCAACCAAGAGATTCTTTTAATAAAACGTTCTATAATGTTTAGAGATAATATTTGTATAAAAAACAAATTCTATATAAAATATTTCAAGACCGTTAGTTATCAACAATGCGTGTTCAATTACACGAAGTTTTAATATCGGACATGTTTTTTTAAGTGGAAATATTCGAGAAACAGTGAATGAGATATTGAGAGATATAGACGAAGGTAGAAGAGAATTTGTTCAAAGTAAAATACAAAAAGAGAGAGAGAGAGAGAGAGAGAGAAAGAGAGAAGAGGTTTATGTAAGGCCCGTTACCAGCTGCAGTCTTAGTTACAGCATGCGTTTTTGGCAAGCCAAGTGGAAAAACATTTTCTTTTCGTTAGTCTAACCACTGCGAAGAATATTATTGGTACATCTTCTATTTTCTTAAATATTCAGAAACATATGCTAGAATGTTTATGGAATGTAGAATATTTTTTAACAAAGAGGTACGAATGTGACAAGGAAGAGAATATTTGCATGCACTGCCACGTAATTGGAATATTTGACAAGCAAAACCGCGACCATTTAACTATCAGCTGATCCTCTTTAACCACTTTTTCGATTCCGCATTTGGCGTATTAGACACGTTCTTCCTATTTTATTTTTAATAGTTCTCTCTCTTTGTTTTCAATGCAATCAACTATTCAATCAACTTTTGATTTAACTAGATTAAATAAAAACTTAGAAATTTGGTAGTATTAAAATAACTCTTATCAACATGTATATATCTCTAGGTATCTCTAGGAAAGAGAGAGAGAGAGAGTGTGTGTGTGTGTGTGTACGTGTGTGATGTGTTAATATAAGTTATATAGCAGAATCGTATACGCTTTAAACCACCTACGCTATTTTCCTAACGTTCTCTTTTCTGACGAAAACATTATCGTACATTACGTATCTACATCACAATGACTTAGATCTTTCTCGGTACGACCTGTGATCTTAAATGCGCGTTTTAAAAGCACCATTCTGAATCACCTATTGTACTCGTCGTCTTATATAGGCATCTAACGACGTCGTTAAATTTTCCACTTACATATATACTCCTTCGCGTGATCGTTTTTAACAAAACATTATATTCAATTCTACGAAGTACCAATCGTTTTAATATTTCGTATGCTAGTTGAGTCCATTCCAATAGGGATTCGATGGAGCTTTATTTTCATTTCTGTAACGATAGGAGGAGAGAAAGCACAATTAATTTCATTAAAAATTTATCGCTTAAAATAATTATAAAAAAAAAAAAAAACGAAAGAAAAAGGAAAAGAATTTAATCCTACGCGTGTACTTTATGTTATCACAGTTAAATTTCATTTTTACAAAGTATACGAATTAATATCCCTTTTAAAATGAAATTAAGTTTGGTGAAAAAGATCTCGTGAACTTTTTCCGCAACATTTTCCATTAAATAAAGAAAAAAGAAAAAGGAAATTTTAAAAGTCCATGATAAAAATGCGATATTATTTATAACGCGTTTAAAAAAATGGAGAGGAGGGGGGCGTGGAGGAAAAAAGGAAAAAGAAATTGAAGAATTACGGGCAATCGTGTTTCAAATTTAATAATCGCGTTTTTTCTCCTTCTCGAAGTGTGTTCCAGATCTCCCTTGCCAAGCTCTCTCTCTCTCTCTCTCTCTCTCTCTCCAGTTCCCAGGGGTGACCTAGTTCCATTTATCCCCTCGCAATCCTGACGCAACCTGCCTGGTGAACTTTCAGCAGTGGTTCGTGTGTCCATAGACCTATGTGAAATTACCAGGCTTACCAGATGGAGCTTGTCCGATCTTTCTCTCTCTCACTCGCGTCTTCCCCCAATTCTCTCCTCTAGCACTCGTTCGCGTACCCTTGTCAAGAGCACTCCTGGGGAAAGGTCAGACAGTCAGAGGCCAACCTACGTAAAATTAGGTCAACCCCTGTCGAACAAACCAGTGCTTTATCCCCACTCCTAACTCGTTCGTTCGTTCGTCGTTGGTTCGTCGTTGGTTCGTCGTTGGTTCGTCTCTCTCTCGCTCTCTCTCTCTCTCTCTCTCTCTTTACGAGGAAGAGTCCAACACGTTTCTCTCATACATACACACATACATTCTTTGACTGTTTCTTTTGACTTGGTGTTATCGGCGCTGATGTTACTTTGGTGGTGTTGGTGATCTGCTGCGTTTCTAAAGTTCGACTGTGCCGATTGGTAGGAAGTGAGCTCTTCGAGGACGGATGAAATCATCTGGAAAAAGAGGCGAGGCAGGTTTCGTTTTTCCTTCCATATTAAGAGAATCATCGATCCTTCTTCTTCTTCTTCTTCTTCATCTTCATCTTCTTCTAATCATCGTTGTCATCGTTATCGTCCTCGTTATACACGTCTCGTCTCGTCTCGTCTCGTTTCTGGTAAATGCATTATTGTTTGATCAATGTCTTCTAAGTTTACCTTTAAGATTATCTTTTAATGGAACTACCTTTCGGATGTAATTAAGATTGTTGGATCTTTGGGATAATAGAAGGATCGATTTTTTGTTAAAAAAATGTTTATTTCTATTACGAAATAATAGCTGACGAAACTGATATGATGATATATTCTACGAAGTAGAATTTATGTTAGGAATAGTTCTTTATTGTACCATTACATATTCATTATTGTTTATATATGTTCGTTTAGATTATTTATTCATCGTTTGATTGATTATTAGATACAATTTGAATCATTAGTTAATGGATACTTCAATTTCAATTGCGTAGAAATCTTTGCTGTGACTCGTACGTGGAATATTCAACTATTTATCTACTAACGATCGAAGTTCTAGGAACTGGGGAGATGGGTGGAAATATGAGGATGAGGAGGATATAGGGATGGAAGTGGAATTGGAATCCACTGACGTCATTGCTCACGCATATCACCATAAAGGCACCCATACGAATAAAGTCGATAAAATAAAAAGATAAACTAATTTGTATTCCGTTCATTTCAAAATCGATGAAAATGAATGATTTTCAACTAATTCCTATATCTTACGATAGTGTGTGACATTATATTATCTGAAAGAATGGCATATTTCATTAAGTAAGACACTTTACACGTTTGGTACACCTGTTCACATACAAAAAATATATATAGAGATAACACAAATGATTGCAATTTTTTAATGGAAACATTCATATATTTGACTAATTCTTAAAATTTCTTTGTTTTATAATTAAACATATTTTAAGCTTTTCGTTAGGCCAATAGGTTTAATTATTTTAGAAAATGCATTCGCACTAATTAACTGAATCTGAATTTTTGTCGTTTATACGAGCTCAAGTAGAAAACCGTGACATTGAAATGCAGGTGCATATTTGCACGTGTTTCTGTGTGTATGTGTGCAGTAGTTAAAGACCTTTTAACGTAGCCTGGCTGGCGTTTCCATAGAACATCAACTACACGCCTTTAAATACGCTTTTAAACACGCTTTTATACTACACCAACAACGAGTACGACGTCAGAAACATCAACGAGGCCACGCCGAGGGCCACGTGTTGCGCTTCTTCTCACCCTCGTTTTTCTTCTTTCTCTCTCTCTCTCTCTCTCTCTCTCTTTCTTTTTCATCCTTTTTTCTTTCTTGTATTTCTTATTACACAATTATATTCCCACAGGAGTAGAAAATTTGTTGGCTGATCGATCTGTTTTCAAGGCTTTTGTTTCTATAAAGTTTTATTAACTATTAATACGATTATACGAAATTTATGGAAATAATGTTTTGAGCAAATGCAAATGGTTAGGTTCTCAAATTTTGAAATAAAATTTTCTTTTATCTTTCTCTCACTCACTCTTTAACTTTCTCTTTTTTTAGCAACTGCACACGACACAGTTGTCACCAAGCCAAATTCGGATATCTTTAACCTAGAGAGAAAGAAAGTATGTGTGCGTGTATGTACTTTACAGAATATTTGATTTTATAATATCGATGATATCAACATTAGACACAATTTTCTTCAATTTAATTTCCAAGATTAAATAATGTACATTTTATAATTGATAACAAATTCTTATATAGACGTTCATATAGGAACATACGGTAAATACATTTATAAACAAAAATCCATTATCTTTGATCTTGAACGTCAGAGAAATGAATTATTTACTCATCGATATACATCTCTCTCTCTCTCTCTTTCTCTCTCTCTCGCCAAAAATAACATCCTACAAAAAAGGAACACCTATATATATATATGCGATCGTTTAAACGCGGAAAAAGCATTTCGTTTCCTGCTTTTTACACAGAAAAAAAGACAGACAGAAATATACACACTCACACACAACTAACGTTCCGAGACTTCATCATCGTTTATGATCATCCTCATCGTCCATATCTCTTTATTTCTGTCTGCTGTCTAACCCATTCTCTCCCTCTCTCTTTCAAATTACATAATCCTGACGAAGTATCGCGTTTGGTGGTGGTGGTGGTGGTCACTCGGGTCGGCCATTATGCGAACAAGCCGCGTGTAAGCTCTTCACACAGCATACATACAACACACAGACAGACAGACACACTAGTCCTCTAGTACTCATGGTATACTCTGGAAGGGTTCTCGACGATAATCGACTCGGTGGCCAATGGTAGTAAAGTAGTAGTGGGTGGCTCAAACTATGCAAATGGTCGGACTAAAGTCACGTATTTTAGCGTGATAGTATTAGTAGGAACGTCAAAAGCGTTAAGAGAGAAGAAGGAAGGGGCTTTGAGGAGTGTTGAGGGTGGGAAGAAGGGTTGGTATATACCAGGTAAGGGGCAGTTAGTGGTGCTCGTCGGACCATTCCATGGTGGGGATAAAGCGAACAAAATAGTGGGGAGTTAGAACACACACACACACACACGTTGACAACTATTATAGAGAGACAGATACAATGATGGACACACAAACACACTTGCGCACTAGAAGAGTAATCCAATAGAGACGAGAAGACGACACGCAGTGACGCGCAGGTGCGGGTTATCTCCCTCTCTTGCATATACTCATTCGATACGTTTCTTATTTCCGTCTATTCCGTAGCGAACGACAAGGTCTACGCGCACGTTACGTGTGTGTGTTTTTGTGTGCACGCGCGCGCGCGCGCGCCTCAGTGGATAACGAAGAAGAAGGGCAACCAGCCTAGTCTCTCTCTCTCTCTCTCTCTCTCTCTCTCTCTCTCGCCCCGTGTCCTCCTCATCCTCCATCTGCCACGCGAATATACTCCTCCTCCTCCTCCTTTTTTTTTGTAACCGTGCTACTGCTGCTCTATTACCACCTTCGCGTTCCTTGTCTCTTCTTCGTCGTCCTCGCCTAGAAATGTCGGTCGCGAGAATGTAAACTTTTTCGTCACTTCGCGAGTGTATTCGTGTTTCTCTGTGTTTTTAGTTCTCTCCCTCTCGTTCTCCCCCTTTGGATTTTGATCCCTTTTTCTTCTTCGAAATGTTTGTGCGTATGCCTACACCTCTGTGGGCTCTTCCTTGACGTTGTTGTGCATGCACTTACATGACACACATATGTGTTCCTATGTATATGTGTTTTATATTTTCGTCTATCCAATCTCTTTCTCTCTTTCTCTCTTTCTCTCTTTTTCTGTGTATTTATAACAAGAGGTTGTGGAAGAGAAGAGAACAAGACGACGCTGCAGCCAAGTTTAAAACTACTTCCACGGGGACAGACACCTGGCCAAATTGAAACGAGAACTCGAGTCTATTTTTTTTTTCTTCTTTTTTTTTTTTCCTTGTTTTCCTTTTTAATCTTTTTTTTTTCTTTTTAAGATTTTATCTTGTTTTCTTTTCATTGCAAAATTAAGCCTCAATCCAATACTCCCTTTCTCATATAGAAACACCCACCCACCTCCTCCCACGTAGATCGGAACGATAATCCACGTCGCTTTTTTACATCAGTGAATATCGACAAGAGCCACTCGGAATGCAGGTGACGTTGCTTATGGCATACAACACAAACGGCTGAATGGTTAATTAACAATACTTTTCTACGATGTTCTATTTCATATTTTTTACATAGTCATGTACGATGGTGATTCTACGATTTAATGATTTATCAATAAGATATGCTTCAATGAAATGTATTTTTTTCTTTTCTTTTCTTTTCTTTTTTACAACAAAAATATTATATAAATTGTTATAATCAATTAATTAATCAATCTTCAATGTTAAATAATTGTCGAATAAATCGAATCATTCTCGTACATAAAAAAAAAAATCATTTCTTTGTTTTCTTTTTTTTTCTTTTTGCTTGACGTAATTATGTGGGGAAAAAAATTGAAAGGTCGGTGGGGAAAGTTCACCGATTGCTATGCGATTGCATTAATCAAAGGTATCATTGTTAAAAATGGTTTTTTTTTTTTTTTTTTTATTATCGATTCCGGATTACGATGAGAACTCTTTTTATTTTCTCTTCATAATTATCATTCATTATAAATGTTGACTCAAATTATCATGGGAGGAGTTGAAAGAAAAAATAATGTAATAAGAAATATTAAAACATTGATCTTCCGATCGATTATTTCTCTCTCTACCTAACGAAACGTAATTAATAGTAAGGTAATATTAAAGGGTCGTTGAGAAAATAATTAAATAGAATAATATAATGTACAATAGGTAGATTCGCTGAGTTAACGTTGATAAGAAATTAAATAGATAATGAAGGTCTGTTATTTTTCTACTTTCAAGATCATTTTCTTAATTTATATTCATTAAATAATAACATTTAATATTTATTTTTAATCATTCTACACCACTCGCGAGATCTTCGAAAGAGATACGATAATAGAAAAAAGTTCGAAGAGTTTTTCTCGCTATCGATTTGCTCTTTTTCTTTCAAACCTTTTACTTGAAACTATCCAAATTATTTTGTCAAAAGGAAACACACACACACACACACATCCACGCGTGAAATTTCCTACTACATTATTTCAATCAAAATATCATAAAGTAACAAAATAAGGAAGGAAATAATAAATAATAATTGAAAATAAATTGGTATCCAAGAAGAGAAAATTGAATTGAAATATTAATCCTGGCTTTTTTCGCAAGCTTACTTGCTTGTGCGCCCTACCTCACCCCTCACCTTTCTCTCTCTCTCTCTCTCTCAACCCCTTTGGCATAGATCAAAAATACGAGGCAATTGGGCCGAGTTTGTAGAGTAGCAGAACGAGGTTTCTTCTCTTCGTCTCTTCTTGTTTTTCGTTCGCATATGTAACACACATTACACACATACAAATACAAATAGTATAGATAAAACAAAAATGTATTAGGTATATGCATGAATTTTAAAGAGACCCTCTTCGATTCGAAGTTATATGTGTATGTGTTGACGATGATGGCCGAGAGCCACGCAACTTGGCACAGCTTTTTCGGCCAATGCGTTGTGTAACAACGCAAACTAATTTTCGTTTCTCTCTTCCTCTCTCTCTCTCTCTCTCTCTCTCTTTGTGTGTATATGTGTTTATATATATATATATGTATTTGTGTCCCTTTAAGAAAGAGTAAGTGAGAAAGAAAGATCAGGCAAGCGCAAGATCGTAGCTTTCAGTTGCGTTCGCCTTCTAGTTCGTCCCGCGACTTCGTCGAGCAAGGCAACGCTTTGTGCTTTAATTCGATCAATCGAGACGCGTTTAACTTTCGACAATTATTTTCAACATTAGTAGACAACTCGTACTTGTAGTTGTTTCCTATCCTAAGTCAACAACCGGTTATTCCAACTATTTGATTTTGATTTTGATTTTTGATTTTTCAGTAGGGTTTGGATGTATAAATACGAGTAGCAAAATGACAATCGTTTTTCTTATTTTATTTTGATTAAATTATAATTGTTCATATTTCGATTCGTAAGGAGTATCCTTAGATTCGAGGAATTCGTTTAAAAAAAAAAAAAAAAAAAGATTGATATCTTGAATAATATACATCGTGAAAATGATATCAGTAATTATTATAATTGATCGTGAATTAATTTCACGTCTCTCTGATTTCATTCTGACAAAAATTAACATCGATGTCGTTTAATAACATTAATATTTCATACTCCAAATGTTTGCTATTGCAAAGAGTTGAAATTATTCGATTAGGACAACAATAAATATCGACAATATTGATATCATGAATGTTTTGTTCTGGAAATGTTTGAAATTGAAAAGGGTGAAGGAAAAAAAAAAGAACAATGTAGGGAACTATATTTCGAAGAGAGAGAGAAAGAGAGAGAAAGAGAGAGGTTTATGTCATTAATTTCACTCGTCGGAAGATCGTGAACACGCGATGTGTATCAACGTCGGAAGGCAGAATCGATCGTTAAGCTCGTTTAGCCGCAAAGTGGTCCAATTACAAGCGTTACCGCCATGTGTGTGTGTGTGTATGTGCGTTTGTGTGCGTGTATATTAGAGCTTTACACGATCTAAAAAGGGTGCCGATGATGATGATTATCATCATCATCATCATCATCATGATGGTCATGCATTACCAACATTTCCCACGTGCTACGTCTCGCGATTGATTATCTTTAATAATATTTTTAAAATATAATAATAAAACGTATCAATTTTGTTAATACACAGGATAATCTCATTTCTAAAATAATGAAAATAAAAGATTTCGAATTCGAATAGGAAAAGAAATATGTTTGTAGTATAAAATACTCGATCGGCCTTGATCGTCGTTCGTTATGAATCGTTATAATAATAATAAAAAAAAAAAAAGAAATAAAAAAAGTAGGAATAGCAATCAAAAGGTGTATACTTCGTTGGGTGCAGGATAAAATAGTTTTCTACTAAGAAGTAGAAATAGTAAAAGTAGTCAGGGAGAGAGAGAGAGAGAGAAAAAGACGTGGTTTTTGGATCAAAGCCAAAGGGGTTTCAAAGAGATATATATCTCGCGTGCACCTATCTCTTTCTCTCTCGCATACACACACATTCTTCCACTTGATCCCGATTTTAGCGACTCGATTTGCCATCCTCGTCGTCGATTTCGTCGCAGTTGGCACGGAAACGATACCACTAAGAGGGATAATAAATCTAGAAATAAATAAAGACAAAAAAAAAAAAGACACAGAGGGAAAGAGAATTTTTCCTTTTTCTAGTAAATAAAAAAAGGAAAAAGAATACAATTTAAACGATCAACAGGATTTTCCCCTAGCCAAAAAATTATCTTAAATATATATATATTTGTTCTTGAAAAATGATTATCATTTTCTTTGGATTCTTTGAGAAACATGTATACGTGTGTGCGTTGCAATAGTGTGTCTAGTATTGTGCAATTGCTCGAAGCGTGCGCGCTACGTATGTACATGCACATACGTAACACTTCTCTCACTCTAGTAGCTTGGTGTCGTTTGTTCTAGCTTTTCCTCTAGCTTAAATAGAGTCTCTAGTCAGTCGACTAACGATATGGTCTCTTAGTTAGTCGTTTACTACTCCTCTTAGGTTACGCGTATTCGCGATATTATATCTCGTTCAATTCAATTAAACAATATATTAGTGTCTTATAATAAATATTTACAATAATTTATAATCATAATTCATAAATTAATAATAGTAATAACAATAATAATAAAAGTTTGTAGTAGTAGTGACGGTAGTGGTAGTGGTTAGATGGTGGGTGGGTGTTGAATGAGAAGAACATACAAATAATACACGTGTATACACGTGTCCGCATACACACACATACACACACACACACATATGCATCCTCGTATATAAAATAATCAAAGGAAGAGATCATTTTTCTTCTTACAATTAGAATCGATCACGCGATTACGAATCGTCATCATCATCATCATCATCATCATCATCACCATCATCATTATGATCGTCGTTGTTGTGTTACTATTGTGTTCTTATGTTCTTATATGTTTATCGTCGTCATTGTGTTGGGAGCGGCTGAATTCTTTTTATATCTCCGCAGTATTTCTATTCGAAAATATAACTTTTCTTTTTTACCTCGTGTTCTTTTTTTTTCTTCTTTTTTTTGTATCAGCTTATTATTAATTACGATAAGCATTATCACCACAACATACATTGGTGGTTTCTTATTTTTTGAATATATAATTATACGTAGATATTTAAATTCATTTTTTTTTTTTTTTCATAAGTTCCTATCTTTGTCGATGATGTTAGTAGTTTAT